GCAGGGTCACCAACACACCCCATCTGGTACGAAACACCACTCGTTAAAGCAGAGAGAAACCCTTAGATTATTATTTTATGCATCCTACTTGGAAGCACACAGTCTGGAAAATCTCAGAGCATCCGGATGCAAAGGTCTAAATCTTAAAAATCTTGCTGCTGGCAAGGCACTGCATTTTGTTTGCACTATTTGACAGCTTCCTCGTAAGGAAACAATTGAATCAGTTAAGGAAAAGAAAGCCACCACAAAAATCCTTGTCCCCCTGTCAGCAAACTGCCACCCCTGATGCCACTCCCGGTTTGGGTTGCCAGAGCACCCGGTGAGGCATCAGGACTGGGCAGAGAGAAACCACAGAGCCACACACTGCTGCCTCTCCCAGAAAAAAACGTCTGAACAGGATTAAATTGCTCATCAAATTGAAAGCACAAAGCCAGGTTTAATGCCTCACACCGAAGCAACCGTGGTTAGGAGCACAATCAGCAGATCCCGGACAATTACCTCACTGGGAGGAGTCAGCATGCAGGGCATGGTTTTCCCTTGCAAGGAAATGGTGAGTATGGAGATAAGSGTGATCCAATTAACCGGACTTCATAAGGATTTCAAAATGCTATGTGGCAATGCTCTTAAGCACTTAAAGAATACCCAAAAGCTCCTAAAGAAACTGAGCTGCTATCGGATAAGAGGAAGAGCCCTCCTRGGATTAGTAACTGGTGAAAGGTCAGGAAGGATGAGCAGGCACAGGACTGCACCTCCCAAGAGAAGGTCATCCTACCTGACTGCTCTGAAAAGGCCAGGACACAGCCCTGTGACAGCACATCCACCAAGGACAGTGACATCACCAGACAAAGGAAAAAAGGCCATGGTGAAACCTGTGCTTCTGGGCAGAGACAAGGGGGGCTCTGCTCYGAGGCAAAGGCTGGATCAGGTGATTCACCTTTGCCCCTCTCTTGTGCAACACCTCAATGAATGGAGTTGCTGGTGCCAACTTCATCAGCTTCCAGAACCATCATGCAGCTCGAATTTGCATGTTGTGTTTCCTCAGGTTCCCTGAGGCTTCTCCTGCAGGAACCCACCATGGGCTGGTTTCAGAGGTAAATAAAGGGCAAGAGAAACCAGTATGAGTGTGGGAAATGTAAGGATCAGCCAGGAAAGAGGCCATCCGGACAGGGAAATAACCCCACCCAGRGAAAGAGCTGGCTGCACATGCTGAAGCATGCTAGAGTGGCAGAAGGTCAGAAGTGCAAAGTCTCTGCTCTGCCAGCAACATTCTGGGCCAGAAGGAGCAGGAGATACTGGAGTTTCAACTATTTGGAGCTCCCCGAGTGCTGTGTCAGCCCCACTGCCTACACTGGGACTGCTGAGGACCATCACCACGGCTGGAGGGGTTTGCTGGCACCTGCAGCCATGTCCCTGCTGCCCCAGGCTCACTCCTGTGGGCTGGATGTGACTGGTCACTATCGAGGTTGGGGCAGGGGGAGGAACACAGGTCTTTTTTGTGAGCTGCGAGAAAATTCCTCACCCACTCCCACACAGCAAATCTACAGATGGACCCCAAATGACCCAGAGGCTCAAAGCTCAGACTGACCAGTGGCTGTGGTGAAGAAATGCACAGGAAGGGAGTCAGTCCTGGTGTGCCTTAGCCAAGGAGCAGGGGAGACCAACCATGGTGCAGCAGAGATGCAACGCTCCCAATATTCCCATGCTCCTCACCTGCTGCCACTAGCACCCTAAGCACAGCATAAGAGGTGTAGCTCAAGGCTGGAGTCACACCAGACCATGACACAACCTAGGGCCTGCTCTCAGCTGGTGGAGGGGAGAAGCTGGGAATCATCTGAAGGAGCCCAGGGCAGCCCCCAGCCCCAGCAGCTGGGACAGGCCATCTGGACCCCAGCAGCCACAAGGTTTCCCCAGCAGCCACAAGGTTTCCCTAGCAGCCTGGGAGGCAGCCAGCTCCAGCCCAGCATGTGCCTCAGTGCCAGGGCTGACAGGGGCTCTGTTGGCAAAAGCCACCACATGTGCTTAGCTCCAGGGGAACAGAGCAAGCAATGGGCACACAAGGCAGTTCATGGCTTCAGAGTGTAAGCAAAAGTGCTCTCTACCTGGCAAAAGTTGTATTTTCCACCGGCGAAGGGGACTCGTATGAGGTCTGTAAGGAAAACTTTCCAGGGCAGACAAGGGAGCAAGCAGAAGGAATAAGGAGGGAGGCTCCATGCTCACAAGCCAAGGGATTTCCTTGGGTTAGACAGAGGGCTGGGACCAGGTCCCTGTGACTCACTGCGCCTTTCCSAGCTGTGCTGCTGCCCTGATGAAAACCCTGCTCCAGCAGGAACCAACCAACGAGCCATCACCAGTACCACAGAGAAACGTGGGAGCAGTAAGAGCAGGGATATTAAAAAATATCCCTGCACACCACCAACACTACCCATGAGCTGCTGGGAAGGGAGAATCCCCTTCCACCCACTGCTTTGAGTGTAGCTGAAAATATCCACCAGTACCACCAGATGGACAGGATACCCCAGCTCCTGCTTTCAGACACAGCCTTCAAAGGCAGAATCCCCAACAAGAAAGAGAACAGATCAAAAAAGTAGCCCCAAATTTCTCCAGTCCCGAGTCGTGGTGCATTTGCTGCTTACTCACTTCTTGCCAAGTCTGGAGCTGCGGGGTTGGGCCCCCGCCCTCCCCTCTGGTACAACTACTCCTTACAGCTTGGAAGCTATTTTTTTCCCACCCTGCTATCTAAAAAAGAAAAAAAAAGGCGTGAAAGCTTTTATCATCCTGAAAACATGCCAACTGCGAAGGCGACTCTGTGTCTCAGACGCCTGTTTCCTGGCAGATTTTAAGTCCTTTGCTCAACTGCTCGGATGGCGGGGGCAGGAGATGCCTGCAGCAGCAGGCTGTGAACTGGAGCTCTAAACACTCACATGTTTAACTGCTGCTACATTCCCGGGGGACCAACAATTGCAAACAGCGAGCTCAGAGCTACACACAAAGCCGAGTGACGATGGCGCCGGCCCATCCGAGGTGAAGGGAAGGCGTGAATGTGTTGTGCAGTGATGCTGTGCATGCACATCGAGGRCCACCAGCCTGGGTGCAGGAGGGACTGAAGGGGGTCATTGACCCAACACCTTCACCTGGGGACAGCTACCAGGCAGTAAAAAAGGAGGTCACCCTGCTCAACACATCCACTGGGTCAGTCACCCCTTCACTTCCCAGATGAGGCTTCAGCTCTGTTGGCTCCCCGAGGTTGGAAGGGAAAGAATGGGACCCAGCAAGAAGGCTGAGCAAGGAAAAAGTGCTGGGCAACCACAGTGTTGGTGTCCAAATTTCCAGTGACCAGCTCTGGCTGCAGCCATCTAAAGGTGCTGGGAAATCCACAGGCAGCCTGAGGGATAGGGACCCTACGTTGGTGCCACCCTGGAAAGAGCTACACACCAGAGCCCTTCATGTCAGTAATGCTTCTTGGGGCTGCAAAGTGCTTGCAGCTGGTTTTGCAGARGTATGTCCGAGTTTGGCCAGGACCTGGGGATTATTCCATACCACCTCACACCACTGCCAGGGTGGGGGGTAGGGACTCTCTGGCTTGCAGTCAAAAAAAAAAACAGAGCAGCGTTTTCTGCCGTCATTCATTGTCTCAGAGTCTGGGTCAGCATTTCTGCATGTGAATCACCCCCTTTGTTACTAATATTGTTGCTGTTATTGTTCCTTTTCTTATCTCATCGCTGTTTCCAGGTTTGAATCCTCCTTTGTACTTAGAATCATAGAACAAGAAAATTATACAACAGTTTGGGTTGGAATGAACCTTAAAACYCATCCAGTTCCACCCCCCTGCCATTGGCAGGAACACTTTCCACCAGACCAGGTTGCTCCAAGGCCCATSCAAAACGGCCTTGGACACTTCCAGGGGTGGGACAGCCACAGCTGCTTTGGGCAACTTGYGCCAGGGCCTCARCACCCTCACAGGGAAGAATTTCTCCCCAAAATCCCAACTAATTCAGCCCTCTGGCAGTGTGAACCATTACTCCTTGTCCTGGTCCTCCAGCCCCTCTCCACAGCCCCTCTTCAGCTCTCTTTAGAGACCCTATAGGCAGTGGGGGTGGAGAGCTTTCTCTTGTCCAGGCTGAACAATCTCAATTCTTGGATGTTTTCACCTTCTTCATCTCCCACCTTCTCTCCCTTCCAGCACAAKGATGGCTGCAGCCAGGGCTGGCCAGGCTGAGGATGGAGGATGGGACAAAGTCATCATCACTCTGTGGCCTCTGCCAGCAGGAAGCTCCTGCCAGGCCCTGGGGGAAGAGGGGTGGCATTTCTCTAACAGGCAGAGTCAGCAACAGTGTCTGCAGTGGCAGAGCCGAGAGGCACCAGACAAAGCCTTTGTTCAGCAGTGCCAGCCTAGAGACAGAACAGCAGCAGCATTACTGGTGAGGTATGATCAAGGTGCCAGCCACCCCCATKGCAGCTGGTTAGCTGGCTTCAGCATCAACTTGGGTCAGAGTCAACTGCTACTTTCCCAAGGGTAGGAGGCATCAGTAAACTTTTTTATGGTTCAAAAGACAACACTGGTGTTTGTGGGTGTCAAATCAGGATCATCTCCAATAGGGAATGGCCCTGCCTTCAGTTGTCCCCTATGAAAATTCACTGGGGTTTTCTGAMCACTGGTAAAGGAAAGGCCTGTTCMAGAGGGTCCCAATCCTGAAAATGACTGGCTGAAGTTCATAGCCTGCAGGCCAGATGTGCTCTGGGATGCTTCCTATAGGGCAGGTAAAACAGTGAATAAGGGCCAAAAGGAATGAGCATCGCCCACAGGAAGCTTCCAGGGCAGGAGGAAGGCAAATCCATGAGTTTGATGCCTTCTGCAGTCATTTCTCATCACTTATAGCAGTCTCCTGATTCAGTGTACACATGGAAAGAACAATTATTTTGTGTCATTTTTCCAGAGAAGAAAATAAACTCATATGTCAATTCCTATTTACCAAAACAAGAGCCAGACAAATTGAGTGCTGTACAAAAGTATGTTTATTCCAAAGATAAATTTCTCACAGAAAACAGTGTCTATGAACCACAGCATTGGTCATGACAGAACTCTAAAAGCCTCCAGGGCTTGGGGTCCTGAACCATCCCAACAGAGCAAGTAGGAATCTCTTCTCAGAGTTGTCAGGAAGCGGAGGGAAACGACAGAAAACAGACACACGGCCGTTGGCCCAATTTCAGAAATTGTGCCTGCTCACTAGAAGAGCAAATGTATCAAGACACTTTGCAGGGAGATTAATGCCTGCACAAGGATCTCACAGAACACCCTGCTCCGTGCAGACTGCCTGTAAAGGAGCAGCTGCCCCTGTCAGGAGAGAGAGCTGCATTATTCCTGCAGACAGAAACCAGGGCTGTTGGATTTAATCATCTGCTGAGCTGCCAAGGACCAAAGTGGCTGAGAGGTGGTGCCAGGGATGTGCTCCTTCGCAGCCTGTGCACGTCTGGGACCAGCCRAAGCTCTAAAGGGGTTCCCCTTCTTCCTCCTGCCTCAGCTTCTTGGAGAGGTGCTTGCTGATGGCCAGGAGGGGGTTGGCTCTGTACTGGGGATCGGTGATAACCTCATGGAACCGAGCCACTTCCTCCTCTCTGAGGAAAGAACAACAACACATCAGYTCTCTAAGTGCCTCATGTGAAGGGGAATTGAGCAGGTAAAGACAAAACCCACAAAGCGGCAGATTTCTGTAGAGACACAGTGATCCTGGGTGTAAATCGCAGAGAGAGACAGTACAAGAATAAACCTAATTTAGCCAAGGGCAAAGCTCAAGTTGCTGCCAGCTTCATGGGAGCCAGAGACTTGATCTCATGCCACACAGACACTAACAATCACGTTAGTGTCCAGCATCACTTGGGAATGGTTTTTTTAGAGCTTTTTCCTAGTAAACCAGAAATAAGAGACTGTAGGTCTGGTAAACCACCAGGAATGAAAATGACTTCATATTGCACCAGCACAAAATCAGATTCTCTTTAGACAGCTCATCTACTGACTCYTTATTGCTGAACATTGGGCCTTGGTAATCCTACATGCAACACTAGCTGAACACCATGGGAAGAGCATGACAGAATTACCTCTGCATGCCTGGCCACAGCTGCTTCCTGGGGAAAAAGWCTTGTCTTAAAAAGCAAGGAAGCAGGGAAGGACAAAGAACAGAACAAGAGCGYAAAAGAAAACCTGTGAGTTTTCACATAGCCACATCCACTGCAGCATCCCCAACTGCCTCAGACTGCCAGGCTTGCCACAGCCTCGCCAGACACACACTTGATAGCACTCAGCCTCTTCCCTCCCAAGTATGGCCCTTCCCTTCAATGCTCCTGCCAGAGGAACAGAGAGAGGAGCCAAACCTGAAGCTTGGGTTGGGGCAATAAGGTGAGCCTTAGGGAACCTTTCATTCTGAACTAACACCCTGGGAAAGAAGCCTCAAGACCTTCCTCCAAACTTTTTCCCTCCCAAGAAGCACAGACTTCCTAGACCACCAAAATGTAAAGAAAGGCAGAACTGAGCAAGAAAGGCATCCCAGCACCAACACTGGGCTGTTTCTGACAGAGAAGGGCATTCATGGAGAGCAGTGCTGGATCYGTATCCTGACTGTTCAGCCTGTTCAGTTTGAAGCTGCATGGCTCAAAACTGACAGAAATCCTGGAAACAAGAAAGCAAACACTGCCAGATCACAGATCCTAGCCCCAGGAGAGCTGTGCTGAGGGAAAATGAAGTTCTTGATGGCAGTATAAACTATCCAACAGATTATATAGAGGATTGCCAGACTAAGCCCAGCAGTTATTTGGAAACATTTAAGCTCTCCATCCTWGTTGATATTCAAAAGCCAAGGGGACATTGGTCTTAAGCAACCAATTCTAGGCAACCTTGCTCAAGCACAAGAGTTGGATCAAGTGACCCCCAGGGGTCCCTTCCAGGCTCAACCATTCTGCAAGGCTGAGCAGGGACTGGACACTGACAGCTGGGTACTTACAGGAGCTGACGTTTCTGAGCTTGTTTCATCAGACAGAAGTCTGCTGGTTCTGCCTTTGCTTTTAAGTGGCTGTGGAGAGAAGAAACAAAACAAGAGGGTATTAGAGAAGAGCATTAATTTAGCAATGGCTGTGTAGATGGAAAGAATCCAGGGATTCTGCATCTGCCTTCCCAGAAAGGACAGGTTGTCCTGCATAGAAATCCTGTACTGAAAGGCAATTATTTCCATAACCAGGCATTGCATGGAAATGCAAACTCTTTCCACCTGAGGCTGACAGGGCAGGAGGCATTACAGGAAAACTGGATCACCAGTGCCAGGGCTGGTCATTAGCTGTCCATGCCCAGATCGCTTTCTGCTTAYCACTGACCTCCAGGTCAAACTGATCCTGTTGCTTAGAGAAAAGATTCCATCGACCCTCCCCTGCCCTGCCACCACACGTGTCACCTCTGCACAGCTCATGTTCCCTGCTGACAGCGCGGAGCTCTGGCCCCTGCAGCCACCCATTACAGGGAGAGCCATGGATACTCAGCAGGAGRAGGGAGCTGCCAGCCCTGCTCTGGATTCTGCACTGGGACCACTGGGATACAATGTGCTGTAATGCAGGATTGTGCTCCATGTGCAGCAGAGGCACGGCAGCAGGTATAGATCTGCCTGCTCTCAACACATTCCTTATTCCTGGGCAAAGTCCAAGGAGAGCAGAGGTGTAATCCCATCCCACGTGGTGCCCGATGCCAAGCAGCAGCAGAGATTTACCACAAAGCCAGWGCTGAACCCCAGCAAGGGACACATAGAAAGATTGCTTTTGGGACTTGGGGTGCACAAGGGGAGTTGCTGCTAGAACTGGACATTAAKGAAAGGAGAAGACATTCCCACTCTTCAGGATTACATAGATAATTGTTGGAAGGCAACAGGGGAAACAGGTTGGAAAAGGGGCTGCCTCTGTGGGGTAGCTTCTCCCCAATTTGCTCTGAAGCTGAGCCCCAGCACACAGGCCAAGGGGGAGAAAGAGGGCCTGCATCCCACTGCTCTGTTGGGACAAGGATCAAGGAAAAATATTCCCATACCGGTGGGTGCTAGGGGCTATGGCCACCCCCACCTGATCTGCCCCAAAGGTTAGAAACAAAACAGTTTCTCACCTTCTCTTCAAGACAGCAGAATCTGGTCTYGGACAGTGACCTCCTCTTCCTAYTTYCCACTCTGGCACRCTACCTTCYATCCTGTTATTTTGCYTTTTTTTCCTCCATTCTWCTTTTCTTCCTACTCCCYTTGYCTTACWTTCCTTCACATCACTCATCTCCATYACCCCTCTCTGTTCAATCAGCTCCTACTCATTTTCCTCTCCTCTCCCTCTCCTCATTTTTAACACCTCAGCACAGGAACAACTTCTGGTCCTAGTTTGCCTAGAGTGCTCACAGAAGCTCAGGAAAACCCCTTCTCCAGATGGATGGCAACCCATGATCACCAAAGCAAGGCTTGCCAAGCCTTTGTGTGCCAACAAGTTGCCACAGCAGTTCCTTCAGAGGTGAGCAGCTCTGCAGAGGGTGACAAATAGTACAGTACATCCCTGGCTGGGTTTCCCCCCAAAACACCAGCAGGCTGCCTGCTCACCTGGACCTTGTTAGGAGCCCAGTTTCATTACACTTCATGGCCTTCATTCATTATAAAACAGAATAAAAACCTCCCTGTAATGCGCTTTTACCCTGCAGGAGATCAAATTCCTGGAGAATCTAATCTTTTATTAATAATGCTGACAAATCACCAGAGTATTACCCTTCCTTTCTGTGATGATTCAAATCCTATAAAAGCTTCCTCCGATTATTTCAAACACTTCTACACAGACATCCAGAAAGCCAGAAGCCAGCAAGGGGAAGAAGAGCTCTGTAGCTCCTCTGTACCAGTACCAAGGGGGCTGATTTTGGGTTGGCAGGACACAGGCAATGTGGGTGACATCAGCCCATGTCAAACTCCCACCTCCACTGTGCCAACTCAGGCTTCCAAAAGGAGAGACTTTTGGGGAAGGTCTGGAATAGGGAGAGAGGGAGCTGACAGCACAGAGGCAACAGCCAACTTAGCCACGCTTTTGGCCTAAGTCACACTGCAAGACAACAAASAATCTGGCCAAAGCACAAAGGGCTTGACCTGCCTCAGGAGAAAGCCTGGATGAAGGTCTGGAAGCACAGAATGTCAGCCTGCAACACCACAAGCCCAGGTTATCAGGTGAGCTCAGCAACATCACAGTGTGGACACTTGCATGCCACTCCTGCAACTCCCAGGACATCTGGATGCTCCCAGCCTGTCTCATGCCAAGCCTCATCTGAGCAATATGATTCCCCTCTTGGCTGTGGGCTCAGAAGACACATTTCACCTTTTTTTCTTGTGTCAAGTGAAGCATGGAAAGGGTTGAAATAAAGTTGTGAATGAGACGCTGCTCTCCTCACCGTTGCCTGTAGCTACAAGTTGAGCTGAAGGACACTTCAGCCTGCAGGAAGAAGGGAAATACACAGCCCATCCCTGAAGAGCACATACCTTTTGAGAGGCTTCCTGCCCCTGCCACCTGTGGTCAGGTCTGAGAGCTCAGGCAGGGCTTCCATCAAGGGCTGCATGTCTCCCACCACAGGTGTTGCTTTCCGCTTTGCTTCAGCTTTTTGCTTCTGCTTGGCCATCTTCACACTTTCTATTTCTGAGTCAGAAACAAAGCATTACTGGATGAAGGGGGAACACCTGCAGRAGATAACCTTGAACTAAGAAATTCATAGATTGCTTTACAGTTTWCAACAGGCCAGAAGTGATTTAAACCAGGGAAAAAATGAACAAAACGCAGCTGAGTCGTTCCCTCCCTTGATGGGTTTGCTTGTAACTATATAGATCCCTTCTGACACTACAATGGAAAGTGAAATTCCCAGACTGTTTTTGTCTGTTCCCATCCCTTACACTGTTCATTGCTCACAGCAACACAGCACAGGAGTCTGGCGTGGCAAAAACCACACTGACCTTGCACGGAATTGGGAAACAGGAGGGGAAGGGACAACCCAAATACAGCCAGCTCCACATCCGGCCTTCAACAGGCACAGCCCCCTCTCTGCATTGCTGTTGGGACCAAACAATGGTCTCCTAGCACAGGCAGAAAAGATGGACTTAATTTCAGTTGTTTACTTAGTTCGCAGCAAGTYGAGGTTCCACCTTCATGACTCACTGTGGAGTGCAGGCAGTCAGGCAATGGATAAACTGGACCCTTGGAAAAGCACTGCACCGAGGGGAAGATGGAGTGACTTTTCCTCAGTACCATGTCTCCCAGTCTCCCTGCAGCAGCTCTGACAAGGGTGTGGGCATAGAAAGCTCCACAAATGTTATATCTGTCTCCTCCTTTACCTTAGAAAGTGGGCACTGAAAGCCACAGGCTGCTGCCTCAGTTCTTGAGGCTTCCTGGTGTAGCAGAAAGTCCCACAGCTGCGCTTCTCAGAGCCAGCAGCTTCCAGGGTGAGCACTGGCTGAATGCATCCTTTAGGACAGCCCATGAAAACCCAGCACTGCTACAAGCCTCCAGCTGGTCCTCCAACTGCAAGGATGCACCTCAGTGCTGAGCTACAAACTCCTTGTGTGGACATGACAGTGTGCCAGAAGCYGTGGGGCTGAGCTGGTGACACAGGGAGACCAACAGCTCCCAAGGCAGCGTGGCCACAGAAGCACAAGTCCTTTCAGAGGGAGCACAGTGGCAGCCACTAACAGACCACAGTCCTGGGGCCAATCCTGCTCCCACARTCAAGGATGCAGAGCTCATAATCAGTGCATGGCTCCTTTAATACCTTTGCCTTGCTCGTTCTCCAACTCAGCTGAGTTGAAGAGCAACCGTTTTCCATGAACTACAGTTTTGCTGTACATGGATGTTTGTGATAAATCAGGATTGGAAACACTTCTCCTCACAGCAATCCCTGCCAAGAACACAGCTTTCTGTTCTGCATCACTTCTTTTTTTGGCCTGGCTTTATGAAGCCGACTACTTCAGTGCTTTCATAAACAGTATGTGCTCAAAATTTTCAGACACCTGATTCTGCGCAAACATCCCAAATTCTTTTCCTATGAAGTCTTGTTCGTCTGAGGAGCCATGCAATATATGTATTTTTAAACGTGCATACTTCTAATGTCTCAAGCATTACATAAGTTTTTTCCTCTCTCTAGTCTCTCCTAAGATTACTTATTGGAATGGAAGAAAGCTCCAAGWTTTGCATTTACACTACTGGTCTGAACTTTGGTTCCTAGGGTCTTGGCATCCAGTGTCACAAAAACAGCCCTGGGACAAGAASAAACAACAAACTCAGATTCAGGAAAACAGAGATGTAGTGATAACTTCAGCAGTCCAAGTTGGGTTCTCTTTTGGGGGACGAAGAGTTCTTTCTTCACAAAGAACTGAAAGAGTTTTTCGGTACTTCTGTGCCTGTAAAGCACTTCTAACACCTAATCACCTAATATCTCCTAAGACAGATAATTTGGCCTGGAGTTATTGTCTTGGTGCTCTCCTCAAAGCAAAGYCTCTGCATTTCACTCGTATTCCCTCAGCTTAGTAATTTCAGAGCCAAGAGAAAGGGAAAGAGGCCACAGCAGGGCCAAAACAGCACACATGATCTTGGAAAAGACTGATGCTACAAAGGCATCAGGAGGGCTGGATTAAGAGAGTGAATTTAGGGATCCTGCTCCGGGGCTCTTCCAAAGCAGCTGACCCATCCACGCAAGATGTGAAAAGCACTGGGAAGCTGTTGGCTGATTGTTTGGGAGGAGGTTTCCTTCACACTCATGCGTGTTAAATTCTCTGCTTTTTATCTAAGAAGATCCAGACACACCATCAGTGCAACTGGAGGAATCACAGATTAATGGACTCGTGCTCAGAGATCAGGCACAGAGAGCACATGGTACAGCAGAAAGCCACATGCCTTTGCCCCAAACACAGTCTGYCTCCAACTCTGTTGGGCAAGAAGGTGTTAGGGAAAAAGCCTGTCCYCAGAACAGCTTCAGGTGACACAGAGAATCCCTCTGCTACACTGGGTAGGACAGCACAATCCCCTACTCTGCTAAGACACTCAAAACAAAAATACAGACACTTCCCACAGGAAACAGAAGCATTTCTGCCATGGGCTGGTTTTGTYTAGCTCATATTTCACAGCCTCAAGAAAGGCCAGACTGTCTGGTAAGAGGRTTCACTGAACTGTAGCATGTGGGAAAGAGCAGTAACACAACCAGCAGTATCCAGAGCTCTGCCTTACTGAGGGGCAGGAGGGCCCACTGCAGGCTCTCACCACAAAGGTTTGGGATTAGCTGCTGGCAGCATGGAGCTCAGCCCCAGGCTGTCCTATCATCCCCACAGTTCCTGAGCAAGRAGCTCCACTAGACAGCTACTCACATCTGTACCAGAGCTTTGAAAGATGGAAAAATATGSTAAACTTACATGGGCACAGTGTCCTTCTGAATAAAGAAAGAGTTTATGTAGTCACATATATTACACATGGTAAAAAGTGAAAGTAGAACTGGGGCAATGACTGAGCTGCTTGGTACTGAGAAACAATACCTGGGACATTTACCCCAGTGTTGGGGAGGGGAGAAGGTTTCTGAGAAACATTTAGCCTCTCCCAGCATTGTCACCCAAACCCMCTGCACAGAGATTACCAGACCTATGATGCCCTGTGTCGCAGGAATACTCACTCTGCAGCCATCTTTCCTTCCTCAGCTTCATCTTCTCTTTTTTGGAAAGAACTGTTTTTTCTTCCAAACCTAGAAGAGAAGAGACATRAGATGGAGTCTGGCTCCTGCACAACAGCTTCTGTTCAACACTTGATGCTTTCAAACTTGCTGTCAGGACGGGCAGGCTGCAGCAGATCCAGCCCCCCTCTGCACCCCAGCTTTTAGCCAAACAAATCAAACCTGCCTCGCTGTCAGTTAAAAAACAAGAAACACTGAAGTAGATCAGATCACCAGCATAGGATTATAGAATGGTTTGGACTGGGAAGGACCTCAAAGCTCATCACATTTCAWGMCCCCTGCCATGGGCAGGGACACCTTCCACCAGACCAGGTTGCTCCAAGCCCCGTCACACCTGGCCTTGGACACATCCAGGGATGGGGCAGCCACAGCTKCTCYKGGMMAMCTGTGCCAGGGCCYCACCACCCTCATGGGGYGAATTTCTGAAATATATCCARGGCARCCCTAAGGAGCAGCTGATCACCAGCAGCTTATAAAAAACACTAGAACCTACTATTTACCAAACTCAGTATTTGGAAAGCAGCTATTGAGCACTGATATSCAATATTAAGTAAAATAATATCACAAATATATTTACTGTAGATCTGTTGCAGGTGCTATAAAATTATATCTTATTTCAGGTGTTTAAAATAAAATTTACTTTAATCAACTTTCCTTCTGAAATGTGCTGGAAACACCAGAATTCCAATAGAGTAACAAGCTCCTTAAAGATCACTCCTTTCACTTTAACTTATTCTTAAGTCTGGGGATGAAAAAGTACCCCTTTTCCCCCCAAAAGAAACAGAAAAAAAAATTCAATGCAATTACAAAAAACGGCACTAATGATAACTTCTCTGAAGCTACAGATCTTTTAGGATGATTTAAACAAAATCAGGATCTTGCTTTAGTAATTTCTTAAGAACAAAACAAACCTGCTGGGGCKGAGAGGACCTTTCCATAAAACCAACAATCACCACCATGTTTAGAGTTTTTAAGGACAGGGAGAATKAAGCTGCAGCTTCCACAGCCTTGTTTCCCAGAAAAATTAACTCCCAGAAAGTACTTAATAAAACCATGTTTGTTGTGGCATCAAAGCAGATGCTGAAAACAACAAATTGCATGTTCCAAWAACCAACTCTGAGTTACACTCATCCCTGATCCCCCCATATTTGTGATCTCAGGGGATAAAAGGATGAATCACAGTCAATTATCACACAAGTATTACTATTATGGGGTTTAATTATCACACCCCAATGATCTCCAGAAGGCTGCCAGCACAGGACACCATGGCTGCTCCAGCCTGCCCAGATCTCAGTCATGGCAGTGCTGGGAAGATCCGCCCCTCATCTGGAAACACAGTCATGACTTCACAGGAAAAACAGCACCTGGCAGCATTTATTAATGAAAACAAAAAAGCCCAATCCAGCCAGCTGGCCAATTCTAGTAATAACAGCAGTTCAGGTCTGGGTTGGTGTTTCTTTCCCCCAAACAGTAGCAGAATATTTGAGGAAACACAATGTTTTCTTGGCAGGAGCCCAACCTCGTTGCTGGCCGGGGAAGGTGGCCACAGATCACCAGAAGGTGCCTGGGGGAAAGGAGCCACATCCCTCCTCTACCAACAGCCAATTCCTGACCTTTTCCATCATCTGGGTCCCTGGACACTCCATTTTCCATACCCYAGCCCGCCCCTCAGAAGGCTGTTCTGCTGCTGGAATGTGCAAAGTTTGGCAGCTTCCAGTTGTGATGCTGAGTGCCAAAACCCCTGGAAACCCACTGGAGAACAGTGGAGGCCGAATTCAGCTGGTTAATTAACACCACAGACTGTCCCCAACATAGTCTTTTATTTTTATTTAGCTTGCAAGCACTTCTGAGATCAAAGCCAAAYGGCAGCTCCACTTTAATTATTTTCCTGTGAAAATAGAAGGGTTTGAATCCCCTCTCCAGCCCATTCCACAGTTAATTTAACAACACTTGCCTTTGAAACCCTGTGTGTGGAGGAAAGGAGAGCAAGCCCCATTAYATTAGCTGAGGGTAATTTCCATACAGTAAACTTGACAATTATTCATTTTAGCGAGAATGTGTTTCTTCTTCCTTCCCTCTGATCTGTGCAGTACAAGACATCTCAGATATGAACAGATTAAAAAAAAACACAATAGCTTTTTGCCACCTACATCAAGCGTTTGTTATTACTCCTGGCAATCCTCAGGATCCTGCTTTCATGGCAGAGAAGCTGATTTTGTTTGAGGATGGCTTCCTTAATTTCAGAAATGTTGAGGGTTTTTCTGGCAAAGGACTCAGACTCAAAATAAAAATTGAATGTATCTTTCTATATACATACAYATATATCCATACATAYATATMTATATATATATATATATAYATAYATGAATGCTTTCCATAAWGAASTCCTTAGACTAAATATATCTGTAAATCCTAGCTTAGAAATCCCTCCCCATTTTAACATTTCCAGGCATTCCAAAAGAAGCTGGACTGAGTAAAAGCTGTAACACTACAGGCTTCCCTGCACCAAAATCCTACTATTTAAGTTTGGCTCTGYAACCAAGAGGGTTTGACAGTTCCAGGAAACTACGTTACTTGGAGGATTTGGCCATGAGCAGAAATACTCAATAAACCTGTGCAATGTCACATGGACAGAGGAGGGTCCTTCAGCACAGGCATCTCCTCCCCCCTGCAAAGCTCCACTTTCRCTACGAGGCATTAAGAAACAACATKTAACATGAACTGTTATTCCCAGAACCCTGATGATACATAACAGYGTAAAGTTGTTGCTGCTCAACATTTGTATTTTAGCAAAGTGAAGTTAAATAACAGCAGATGTGTTAATTTTAGCCTCRGTTGTATAATAGCAAGAATGAACATATGCCTACAGCTGTGAGATGAGTTCATGAAAGAAGTCAGACTACATCCAAAAGCAGAATACTGGGTGTGGTTTGGGATTGTTTTCTCAAATTACATAGTGACATTTGTAAATTGTGCACTACTCTTGTCCAAGGAAAGTGCCTGGGAAATGGTAAGGATGGTCTCCTGGGCACACACAACAGCAGTGTGACCTGGCAGCTGTCAGTGCACAACCCCTGAAGGTGTTCTTATTCCTCCAGGTGGAGAACTGGAGGACAACATGGGCCAGGCAGAAAGCCAGCCACCATGTCCTCTGGCAGAAATGATGCTCCACTGGAGCCAGCCCGGCAGCTCCCTGCCCTSATCCCACCACAGCTCCAGAGCCGTGACCTCCAGCCGCACTGCCCCCAAAAGCATTGATRGGGAAGGGTCACCGGTGTGATCACAGCTTGGAGGTGGCAATGACTGAGGCAGGGAGTTGTATCCAAGCTCTCTGTCCTCTTGCTGTTAGAGACACCCCCAGAGACAGCCTGGTGCCTGCATGTGGGYACAGAATACACATGTTTGGGTTTTGCCCAGCCCAAGCTCTGACACACCCTGAGCAGGCTCGGGAACCAGTGTTGRAGGAAAAGGTGCCAGCTCCTGCCAGGCCAGGGCAGGTTTCACCATGGATACAGCATTTGCTTTTCATCATCTAAAACAAGCTACATTATTTTTGTTCACACTTAATCATTACACCAGCATGCAAGCCCTCCTCCTGCCCCAATGTGGAAGGCATCCTACAAGAAGTGGGATCTGCGTTCTCAGCCCCCTCCGACCCCCTGGTTATTTAAAGCAAAGCCTACTTCCAAGGCTGGCTTCCCCCAGCACCCCAGYGCAGCTCGTGTCCTCACAGCAAGGTCATGGCTCCGTCAGGCCTGGTAAACACCCCCAGGCTCCAGGCAGCCCCAGCAAGGGCACGAGCCTCCCAGGGCAGCAGAGCTCAGACTCRGTGCACAAGCCATGTTCCATTTGAGATGGGAGAACGACCCCTCAGGAGGTGACCAGGCAGTCACAATTTGCACAGCAGGCCGTGAGAGGCAGCTCCAGAGACACAGTCTGTGTTTCCATGTGATGTTTTCAGTGCTGCTGGCACACTCGGTCCCTGCCACAAGGTAAAAGCACCTCCTTCTCCTCCTCTGCCSAAGGCCTGTGCATTGCAAGCCCTCACCCTTCCCACCTGCATGCTCTCAGCAGCTCTCCCAGCACACAGGCTGCCCTTTGAAGTCTCAGTCACAGACAGGCACACAGAGGATGCTCAGGGTGGCCCAGTGTGTCACTCTTCCTAAAGCCACTTGTGCAGCTGAAGTTATTTTTATAACCAAGGCTGAAATGCCGCAGGGAACCCTGATTCCYGAGCCAAGCATGCCACAAGGACTGCAGAATGCCTTGTCTAAGCCAGGAGCTTGGTATTGCCATTTTCAGGCACAAAGAAACTATAGAATGGTTTGGGTTAGAAGGGACCTTAAAAACCAACTCATTCCAAACCCCTGCCATTGGCGGGGGAAGAAAAAAGGACAGGTCTCAGTAGTCCCTAACATGGAAAACTTCAAAGCCCACAAAACAAATGCAGAAAGGCTYACCCACAAACAGGTGCCCTGGGAAATCCGTGGCATGTCAGGGACTTTACAAGACCAGGTATCCCTATCTCCTTTGGGAGAATGAGTCTGTTTACAAAAGAAGACATGTTAAGGCCTTGAGCCTCTTTGCATGTACATGGAACAAGTGTGTGTACATTTCTTCCAAGAAAAGAGTTCTCCAAAAGTATCCTAAATTACACAGTGCAAATATTCTTATTTGTTAAGGAATGGCATGGCAAAAAAGTTGATCTTTGCTTTCTCTGACACATATTTGCTCTCTGCGCAGCCCCATAAACAATTTAAATACCTGTGATCACAGTGAATTTAATTTTATGCCCAGCAGCTCTCAACAAGTTCTGCTGTAGCTTCTAGCCTTACAAAAGGTCACCCAGTCCCAAGAGAAGAGCAGCAAAGGCCACAGCACCAGTGCACCATCCCTGGAAGCATTCTAAAAGTGTGTGGTGGCACTTGAGGACATGGCTTAGRGGGATACCTGGCAGTGCTGGGGAAATGGAGGGACTCAATCTTAGAGAGATTTTCTAACCTTAAAGATTC